CAGAAACCGGCTATCTCAAATATTTTTCGTATTTTTCTCAGTTCTTCCAGGCCAGGATAGTACCTTAAATTAGGCCACGACCGCTTCCTTCCACATACTTCCCAATTAACTATCATCTTCTCATTCGACGATATAGAGTCTGAAAAAGCGTTATTAAATAAACCGCAAATATACAGAGTGATTTAAAAAGGACTTTACAAATTTGAAGGTGTATGGAAATTTATTCAGAAGGTTTATAGAATCGGTTGAGGTGTCATTTTGTAGCAAAACAAATCACGTTTTACGTCAAACAGTCATTTTGGTTCGATGTGATTGCCATTGGTGATACTGCAGACATCCCACCTGAAATCAATTTGCCAAACACGATCCAGCATATCCGGTGTCACTTCTGCAAATGCGGCGGTGATTCGAGCTTTGAGCTCTGTGAGATTGACAGGTAAGTGTGGAACATACACACGACCTTTAATGAAACCCCATAAAAAATGGAGAGGTTTCAAATCTGGAGAACAAGGTGGCCATACTATTGACCCTGTTCGACCAATCCTCCGACCTAGGAAACGGTTATTGAGGAAATCCCGGACTTCTGTGAGGTAGTGAGGTGGTGCGCCGTCTTGCTGGAAGAGAATGCGTCCTTTTTGGTCATCTTCGTCTAACTGTTATCTCATGGCGAACAGAACAACCAGTCTCAACAAAATTCTTGTGCCAAGATTAAATTATAGGTCTACTGGGAGGATCCTTGCCATACTGGGTGCGAAAATTTCGTTGAACCATTGTCGCAGATTTCGTTTCTTCAAACCACAGCGAGCGCGCTACGCACCTGTGAAAGTAGCCATTTTGAAATGTACTGCCACTTGCGCTCGCAGTGACGGAATTCGGTACTACAGCACAACGTGAGTCAAACTTGATTTGTTTTGCTACAAAATGACACCTCAACTGATTCTGTAAGCTTTCTGATTAAATTTCTATACACTTTCAAAGTTGTAAAGTCCTTTTTAAATCACCTGGTATAATATAAGAAAACTTTGGGTAAGGCTCAATTGGGTTAGCGTTAAGTTAGGTTATCTAAAGTTGTGTTATCTTAAGGTAGGTTGGAGGTGTTACGATAGTTGCGGTTGAGTTTGAATAGGTTAGGTTAGAAAAAGTTAAGTAAGTTTAGGTAAAGTAAACTACTTTCTGAACATTATCCATCGTCCCAGAAAACACGACGTTTCTCTAACGGTCCAAATTACATTTTCTGCTGAGGTAATTTAATCATACTATTTTATTCATTATTGTTTTATTAATCTGAATTTGTTTTAAATTTCCTTTTCAAAATTTCAACGTTTTGTGACTTCAATATGTCGAAAGGCAGTTTAGGATTTATGGTTCTTTGTCACTCAGCAGATGATGTTACTGGGCAATGCATTGTATGGTGTGAGTGAGGGAGCCAATCAGACGCAAGAGCTGTGTGCTAGTGGCTATGTTACTGGGTTTGAATATTTCGAACTAATGACAGGACACTTGCAGCAGGGCGTCAGTTTGGGAAACACTACAAGAAACTTTGAAAACAGCAGCACGCGCTCCAAATACAATTCTGAAATCTTCTTGCGGCTAGGGCTAAAATATAATCTATGTTGTTATTAACTAATTAAATAGTGCGTAAGAATATTTAGCAATAGACGGCAGCCTCTAGTTGTCGGCAGTTACATGCCGTAAACACCCCTGAGGAGATTCGAGTGTCTACCAAAGACCCAAGCTCCCATCACTGAGCGGCTATATTTCGGAGACTGGAATTTATTTCGTCTTCAGGTAAAAACATGCTCTGCTGTGTCCAATCGGTAGAGCTAGACCGCATCTCCGGACACATCAAGGAGCATTAATTTTGGTGAGTGACACACAAATGTAGAAGTATTTTATGACCAACCGAGTCACTTTCAACGTCTCTAGAAGGACCCAGCTTTATGCAATTAGTTCTTTACAGATACATTATGCAGTATTATATAAAGGTTCTAAAACAATATATTTTAGTTTAATAACATTCTTTCGAAAATAATTTGTACGACCAACAGTTCAAATTATCGAAATGTCTGTTTAACATTGATTTTTAAATTGGGGATTATTTATGAAATTGAGATTAGTTTATTTGCTGAACAAATGCTGTCAATATTATAAAATACTGGACTCTTGTACAACAGCATTAATTAAGCCAACCTTTAAGAAAGTCGAGGGGAATAAATTTATGAACAATGGACACAAAATATATAAAAAATTATGAATAATAGACTAAAACCTATTTGCACACTTTCTGTTAAGAAAGGGACAGTAGATTTCGAAAGGGTCTATCGTGTTCTGACAATTTACTATAAAAGAGATAATAGAAAAGCGATGTAAATTCAACCTTGAAACTCATATTGCATTACATAGCATGTTAGAGCATAGCATTTGTTAGAGTGAAAATAGATAAATCATGGAAAATAATTAATAATAAAGGATATTAACAACATATGAATAAAAAATTCCTTGGATATTATCCATCGTCTAGTAAAATATAAAACGTAAAAACGACGTTTCGGAGATGGGACTCTATCTCCGTCTTCAGGTTCCTACACAGTTGGGCTCACTAGATAGACCTAATTCCTATCTCCGGACAAAGTAAAAAAGTGAAAGTCCCGGAATAAAAAGACATCACCACACCATCCATCGGTGGGACGTAAAGAAATAAATAGTAGAAATAAAATTCGTTAAACACGATAAAGCCAAATAAAACAAAAACTCACAAAATATGGGAATAAATACATATGAACATTAATTTGAAACTCGATAAAGGGACACAAATATAATTTCAGACAGGGCCTGCTGGAGAAATCCAGATTGGCCTAACATGCGTATGAAGAAGATCATCATGTCTGTTGGGATGGAGCCAGGGTGTCACTAACAGAACCTACAGGAAATACAAGGAGGCGGCACACAT